CTCTCAGTGAGATGAGAAGCCATGGACATTGGCGTAAAGTGCAAGAAATGATACGTTTCTATTCTCCGTCCTCTTCTTCTTATTCAAGTCTCTTGGAATTTGTAAATGCAGATTTTCCTTCTACATTAGGAATCCGAGGAAGGCGCGAATTTTCCCGTCTCTTGAAGCTACGTGAGTCAGATGATGATCCGTTTCTATATCACAATGTAGTTCATGGTCAGATCATTGTATCGGGTTTTGAGTCAGATACGTATCTAAGTAACGTTTTGATGAATTCGTATTCGAAAGCTGGTGTTATGGTTTATGTACGTAAGTTGTTCGATAAAATGCCTGAGAGAAACTTGGTTACTTGGTCTACAATGGTTTCAGCTTGTAATCATCATGGGTTTTATGAGGAGTCTTTGGTGGTTTTCTCAGAATTCTGGAGGACGAGAAAAAACAGTCCGAATGAATATATTTTGTCGAGTTTTATTCGAGCTTGCTCTAGATTAGACGGTAGTAGTGGTCATTCGATGGTGTTTCAACTGCAGAGTTTTCTTGTCAAGAGTGGGTTTGATCGGGATGTTTATGTCGGTACCTTGTTGATCGATTTTTATTTGAAGGAAGGTGATATCGATTATGCAAGGCTTGTGTTTGATGCTTTACCAGAGAAATCTACTGTGACTTGGACAACAATGATTAGTGGGTGTGTAAAAATGGGAGGAAGCTATGTGTCATTGCAGTTGTTCTACCAACTCATGGAAGCCAATACTGTTCCAGATGGTTACATCCTTTCGGCGGTGCTAAGTGCGTGTTCAATACTTTTGTTTATTGAAGGTGGGAAGCAGATTCATGCACACATCTTAAGACATGGACATGAGATGGATGCCTCACTGATCAATGTGCTTATAGATACTTATGTGAAATGTGGCAGAGTTACATCGGGTCGCAAGCTATTTGATGGAATGTGGAATAAAAACATCATTTCGTGGACCACGATACTGTCTGGTTATAAGGAAAACTCTCTTTATAAGGAAGCCATGGAATTGTTTTCCAGAATGTCAAATTTTGGTTTGAAGCCAGATGTGTATGCTTGCTGTAGCATACTCACATCTTGTGCCTCACTTCATGCTCTGGAATATGGAAGACATGTCCATGCGTACATTATCAAAGCCAATCTTGGCAATGATAGCTATGTGACTAACAGCTTGATTGACATGTATGCGAAATGTGATTGTTTGACCGATGCCAGAAAAGTTTTTGATATTTTCGCTGCTGATGATGTGGTTTTATTTAATGCAATGATCGAAGGTTACTCGAGACTTGGGACACAATGGGAGCTTCATGAAGCATTGAACATCTTTTGTGATATGAGGTTCAGATTGATTCGACCAAGCCTGCTGACTTTTGTTAGCCTTCTACGTGCATCTGCTTCTTTAACTAGTTTGGAACTGTGCAAACAAATCCATGGGTTGATGTTCAAATATGGGGTACACTTGGATATTTTTGCTGGAAGCGCCTTGATTGATGTTTACTCAAATTGCTATTGTTTAAAGGATTCTAGGCTTGTGTTTGACGAAATGAAAGAGAAAGATCTTGTTGTCTGGAATTCAATGTTTTCAGGATATATTCAACAATCAGAGAACGAAGAAGCTCTCAATCTGTTTTTGAAACTACAGATATCAAGAGAAAGACCTGATGAATTTACTTTTGCCGACATGGTTACAGCAGCTGGCAACCTGGCAAGTCTTCAACTGGGTCAAGAGTTCCATTGCCAGCTTCTGAAAAGAGGCTTGGAATGTAATCCTTACATTACGAATGCTCTACTAGATATGTATGCTAAGTGTGGAAGTCCCGAAGATGCTCATAAGGCTTTTAATTCAGCAGCTTCAAGAGATGTGGTTTGTTGGAATTCTGTAATCTCATCTTATGCGAATCACGGTGAAGGCATTAAAGCTCTTCAGATGCTGGAAAGAATGATGAATGAAGGAATAGAGCCTAACTACATCACCTTTGTGGGTGTTTTATCAGCGTGTAGCCATGCTGGTCTTGTAGAAGATGGACTTGAGAGTTTTGAGTTAATGCTTCGACTTGGAATTGAACCAGAAACTGAACACTATGTTTGTATGGTATCTCTTTTAGGCCGTGCTGGTAGATTGAACGAAGCAAGGGAGTTAATTGAGAAAATGCCGTGTAAACCACCTGCAATAGTATGGAGGAGCTTGCTGAGTGGATGCGCAAAGGCTGGTAACATCGAGTTAGCTGAACATGCTGCTGAAATGGCTATTTCGTTAGATCCAACGGATAGTGGATCGTTTACTTTGCTTTCTAATATTTACGCGTCAAAGGGTATGTGGAGTGATGCGAAGAAGGTAAGAGAAAGAATGAAGTCTGATGGTGTGGTGAAAGAACCTGGACGTAGTTGGATTGAGATTGATAAAAAGGTTCATATCTTTTTGTCCAAGGATAAATCTCACCGCAACGCGAATCAGATTTATAAAGTCTTAGACGATTTTCTTGTGCAGATCAAAGAGGTTACTTAACTACCATACAAGACTTCAGTTTCTATTGAGTGATTTGACTTTATTTGGTTAAAGACCAATGCGGCTAGAGTTGTCCGGAATCTGTGTTGATCAAGTTACCGAGCAATCTGGAAAACTTAAAGAGGTATCAAGCTTGATTGTATCACGAAAGAAAGAGTTAACATCTATGTTAGTGGAGTTGAAGCTTATCAAGGATGATTACAATCAGAAGCAGAAACAGTAAGACCACACACACACTTGATGTTCAAAATCATTTCTTTTATCCAAGAGTGAACCAAAGATTGAGAAGCTTAGAAAGCAAATGATACGTGTTAAAGACGAGCCGGAGAAGAAGGAAGAAGCAGCAATGCCCAATCCTGAGAAGAAGCTGAAGAATAGCAGAGAGCAAAGAGCAAAAATTAACACTCGGTTGGGTTCAAATCCAAAGGAGGACTCAAAATTTACCCCCGGTTCACTTCTCAGTTTCTTCGTATCACTTAAACCGTTTATGTTAGAAACCGGTATGAGTGAGAATTTGTAATGGTGAACGGTAATGTTGTATATGGTTAAACCGATTTTGAATTCAACTAAACCCAAAGACCAATTCAAACAAATCAAAACCGTGGTGAACCAAACTAAATTTTCATTTGTGTTCCAAATTTTCTTAAACCGGAAACCTAATTGGACATGTAATTATTATTTAGGCCCAAGATCTTATTGGACCAGGCCGAGTTCTAGACACTTCGGTGTTCTCTTGTCCTAAACCGAAAACCCTCAGATTTCTCTGGTTCTTTCTCGACAGTCGTCACTTTCGACCTCCGATTCCGGTGTTCTTCCTCTTCCTTTTCACTCGCGTTTAACCTCTTTGGTATAATCTGTGAGCTCTCTCTGATTCGACTGCAACCATGGCGACTATTATGCAGAAGATCAAAGAAATCGAAGATGAGGTATTCTTCGATAACTCTGATTCTTCAACTTTTTTAATGATGCATAGAGAGCTTTGAATCCGAGATATCTGTTATTTTTCAACTAGTTTCGAATCAAATGAATGATTAATCAATTGTTTTTATTACACGGGTTACTCACAAGTACGAGGTTTTTTGTTTATGTCGCAGATGGGTAGAACACAGAAGAATAAAGCCACTTCGCAACATTTGGGTTTGTTAAAGGTAAAATGTTATGCTCAAAATCTATGTACTTACTTTGAGAGTGAAGTTAAATGGTTAAGGTGTTTATATCGATCAAATGCAAATTAGGGAGATTGTTTTATATCTGTTTCGATAGAATCTTGTGTGTTATATGATTATATATCCCAACTACTAAGCAAGCACATGGAGAAGTATTGTAGTTTCTGGTTAGTATCCTTAGGTTTTATTTGAATTTCCAAATCATGGACTAAGCATAAGGATGGATTTTGATCTGTAGCGTGATCTCTTTGTGAAGTTCGTTGGATAAAATTACGCTGTGTGAATCGTTTTGAGGACCTTAAGATTATTAGACAAGAGTTAAACGGTTGGCTTTATATGTTTACTAGGCAGTCATGGAATTATCATTCCATATACTTGATATTGGAGTGTAATATTTTTTTCCCCCGCACCATTAGCTTCTCTCTTAATTCCGTTGGTCCATGTTGCAGGCTAAACTTGCTAAGCTAAGAAGGGACCTTCTTGCGCCACCTACCAAAGGAGGTGGTGGTGCTGGAGAAGGTTTTGATGTGACTAAAAGTGGAGATTCTAGAGTTGGACTTGTTGGGTTTCCTTCGGTTGGAAAATCCACGCTCTTGAACAAGCTGACTGGAACGTTTTCCGAGGTTTGTAGTTACTGTTTTATAATCTCAAATTTCCTTTTTATTTGGTTGTCAACCGTTAGAGCAATTGCATGTAATGTATCCAAGTCAACCACTCTAACCCATTTCTTGTGACAATTGATCAGCACTATTCTTGTCTTGGATATATGAACATAAATCTTAGAATTTTGAAGGTACATGCGCAATGTTTTTCAGGTTGCTTCATATGAGTTCACAACATTGACATGCATTCCTGGTGTTATCACATATCGTGGAGCTAAAATCCAGGTATGGTAGCTACATCGATGCTTCTGTTGTTAATCTGTAGTTTATGAAGAAAAATGTTATTCCTGCATCTTTCAATTGTTTGAGTTATCTCCTATGTCTTGGAAGTTTGTAAAAGAGAATGAAATCCGTGGCTATATATATGCCATGTCTTAGGTTGTAATTTTCTTTCTTTAGTGTCACTCCTATATCGGGCATTATACTTTGCTTAATCTTTTAATGACTTATACGTATTTGTTGGATGTTGATGATACTGCTCTTTTCTATGTTCCCTTTAATGGGCTTACAGTTATTAGATCTGCCTGGTATTATTGAGGGTGCTAAGGACGGAAAAGGTAGAGGACGACAGGTTAGTCGAGCATAGACCTCTGAATTTTCAGGATGTATCAAATTTGAGCCTCTTTGGCCATGTTTGACGCATGTTTGACGCTTTACTATTTCCAGGTTATAAGTACTGCTAGGACATGCAACTGCATCTTAATAGTTCTTGATGCCATAAAACCAATAACTCACAAGCGTCTCATTGAAAAAGAGCTCGAAGGATTCGGAATAAGGTATATATAGCTTATTTAACCTTTATACATCCCATTTCTTTATCAGTTCTGGTAGGAATCTTGACTCTATCACGTACTGATGCGTATAGGTTGAACAAGGAGCCACCTAATCTTACATTCAGGAAAAAAGACAAAGGTGGTATCAATTTAACTTCTACAGTCACCACCACACACCTTGACCTCGAAACTGTCAAGGCGATTTGCAGTGAGTACAGGATGCACAACGCTGACATCACTCTTCGCTATGATGCAACCGCTGATGACCTCATCGATGTCATCGAGGGCAGTCGGATCTATATGCCCTGTATCTATGCCGTCAACAAGATTGATCAAATAACACTCGAGGAACTTGAAATTTTGGACAAACTTCCTCATTACTGTCCTATCAGGTAAATATTGTTAGTTTCCCGGGCAGAATTCTCGAACAATTGTCTTCCCATTCTCATTGATTGAGATACAATAATCTTGCAGTGCGCATCTGGAGTGGAATCTTGACGGTCTTCTCGATAAGATATGGGAATACTTGGATCTAACTCGAATCTACACCAAACCCAAGGCGATGAATCCGGATTATGATGATCCCGTTATCTTATCCTCCAAAAAGAGAACAGTTGAGGACTTCTGTGTCCGGATTCACAAAGACATGCTTAAACAATTCAAGTAGTAAGTAATTAAAATCTTACGATTGTGCTCTGTTTCTCTGTTTAATAGTATCTTGCTCGAGAGCGTTGCTTATGAGTTCATTTGATTTCCCGATGTAGCGCTTTGGTTTGGGGTTCAAGTGCCAAACACAAGCCACAGAGAGTTGGAAAGGTCAGTCTACTTGCAAATTCTGTAACGTTTTTAAGCTAAAGTCGCCAATGAATCAGACTCAAATCTAGTTTTTGGGAGAGAAATTTTAATTTCGTCTTTGCTAAACCCATTGTAATATCCCTGACTAACAATCATCGCTGTCTTTGACATCGTATTCATGTATCAGGAACACGAGCTCGAGGACGAGGATGTTGTTCAGATCGTTAAAAAGATATGATTTTTCCAGTACATGGAGAAGTAAAGCCATAATGAGATCTATCTCTATGTAGAACAAGTTTAGGATCATCTTTTGGTTTATCAGCTTATCTTTTGTACTGTATTATATCCAGAGAAAATCTGTCTACACTTTCTTTTTGGTCTTATTGGATACTTTTTTTTTTTTTTATCTTTCTCCAATGTGATTGATGTTTTGTCAGAACATTTCAGATTTTTTCGGATATGGTTTTGCCTTGGATATAATTCTATTTGTTTTTATGTATGCAACTTGTTTAATTTTGAATTTATAAAAGCTGAAATATATAGATTTGGCTTACTTTTGAAATGATTGATAAAATCTGTTTAAGCGGCTTTCATTGCAAATACAATTCTTGGGTGGACTTATCTCTAAAAGTTGTTTTGTCATTAAATGCGAAATTAAAAGATTATGGTTATAGTTAAGTTTTAATTTAATGAGATTATAATAAACCCCATAGAAATCGTACACATACTTGTATCATCCATTGGGTGAGTGGTTAGTAGTTAACATCCACACCATGCGGATAGGATATCCAAAAAAAATGCTCGATTTGTTTTTGACGAATATTCGGATATTCGCGGAAATATGTTTTAAACAAAAAAAAAAAATTAAAACACCATAATATGATTTTTTCAAAAAAAAAAGTTTTAATATAAGATTTAAACTAATTAATCAATAAATATATGAAATAAGTCTAATTTTATTCGATAAATTGTTTA